CAGACAGATGGACACAGACAGACACAGGTGGGCAGGTGGAGACAGATGGACACGAGCAGGTGGACGGACAGACGGACATGGGTGAGCAGATGAACACAGGTGGGCAGATGGATGGACAGATGGACACAGGTGGGCGCACTGGGATGTGCATGGATGGACAGATGAACAGGAAGAAATGTTTAGGGATGGATGGATGGCCAGATGGACACAGACAGAGGGACAGAGCCGGGGATGGATGGACAGCCGTCCGGCCGGTACCTGCACAGGTCCTGAGCCTGGGCGCTGAGCTCCTGGACTTGCTGCTCCAGGCCCCGCAGCCGCCTCTCGCTGTCCCCCAGCTCCCGCTGCAGGTTCCCGGCCACCTCCCGGCTGGCCTCCGCCTGCCCACGGGCCTCCTGGGTGGCAGGGTCAGCCTTCATCAGTCTCATTCTCATCCTCACCATCATCATCATCCTCATCATTGTTGTCATCATCACTGTTGTCATCCTCCTCACCACCACCATCATCCTTGCCCTCATCATCGTCATCCTCATCATCCTTATTGTCATCATCATCCTCCTCACCATCATCATCATCCTGACCATTGTCATCATCATCCTGACCGTCGTTATCATCCTTATCATCGTCAGCATCCTCGCCATCGTCACCATCATCATCCTTATCATCATCACCCTCACCTTCATCATCCTCACCATCATTGTCATCATCATCCTCACCATCATCATCATCCTTCATCATCATCATCATGATTGTCGTCATCATCCTCCTCACCATTGCCATCATCATCTTCACCCTCACCATCATTGTCATCATCGTCACCATCATCATCGTGATTCTCATCATCCTCTCCACTTTCATCATCCTTATCATCATCATCATCTTCACCATCATCATTCTCACCATCATCCAGATCCTCACTATTGTCATCCATCCTCATCATCCTCACCATCATCCTCATTGTGATCTTCGCCATTGTCATCGTCATCTTCACCATCGTCATCCTCGCCATCATCGCCATCATCGTCATCATCCTCATCATTGTCATCATCATCCTCATCATCGTCTTCATCCTCATCATCCTCACCGTCATCCAGATCCTCACCATCGTCATCCATCCTCACCATTGTCCTCATCCTCATCACGATCCTCACCATTGTCATCGTCATCTTCACCACTGTCATCCTCGCCGTCATCATCCTCACGTCATCATCACTCTCATCATTGTCATCCTCACCATCATCATGATCCTCACCATCATCATCGTGATCCTCGCCATCATCCTCATCATCCTCTCCATTGTCATCATCCTCATCGTCATCATCTTCACCATCATCATCCTCTTCACCATCGTCATCCTCACCATCCTCACCATCATCATGATCCTCACCATCGTCATCATCATGTCACCATTGCCATCATCCACACCATTGCCTTCATCATCATCATCCTCACCATCATCACCCTCCACCTCACCATCACCACAACCCTCATCCTCATCCTCACCCACCCCACCGTCCCTGTCCCCCCGTCCCC